GTATTTTTGCTTTATATATCTGGTATCAGGTCTGTGTATATTTAGAATTGTTACTTTCTTTTGCTGAATTGAACCCTATATCCTTATATAATGATCTTCCTTCTCTCTTTTTACTCCTTTATCCTTAAAGTCTATTTTATTTGATATAGGTTTGGCTAGTTGTGCTTTCTTTTGGATTCCATTTGCATGGACTATCTTATTCTACTCCTTACCTTTTATTCTATGCTTCTGTTTGGAGGTGAAATGGATTTCTTGTAATCAACATATGGTTTCTTTTTATCATTTTAGTTATTCTATGACTTTTAACTGGAGAATTTAGTCCACATAAACTCAAGGTAATTGTAGATATACAAATTCTTATGATAGCCATTTTATAACTTGTATTCTAGTCTGCTGTAGTTCTTTCTCTCTCCCTTAGTTTTCTTTTGTTGTTATGTGATTTACTTTAGTAGTATGTTTTCTTATTTTTAAACTATTACTAAATTTGTGCTGTATTATGGTATTTACCATAATTTGATTATAAAAATCTAATTTTGAAATGATAGCAACTGAACATGATTGTAAAGGTAAGTATAGACACAAACAAAAAGGAACTAGAGAAAATACAGTAATAAGAAAACTCTGTACTTTGTTTACATTCCTCCTTACATCTGTTTTTGATATCACACTCTATCTCCTTCAATACTCTCATCCTTTTAACATAAAGTAGTTATTCTTTTTAATAATTTTAGTTTTTAGTCTTAAAAAGTTAAGGCTGACTTATGTATCATGCTCATATTAGAACACCTTGAATTTTTTTGTGTAATTATTCTTAGCAGTGAATTTTATATCTTCTTACTCATATCTTTTTCTCAGTTTGAGTAACTTACATCAATAATTTAAAACTCTCACTTTTTGTTTGTTTAGGAATGTCTTTATTTCCCCTTCATTTGCAAAGGATAGCTTTGCTGGATACAGTACTCTTCATTGATAGTTACTCCTTCAGTACTGTGAAAACTTCATGCCAGTCTCTCCTGGCTTATAAGGTATCTGCTGTGAAGTGGGCTTTCAGTCAAATTGGACACACTCATGTGCTATTTGTTTCTTTTAATCTTCATCGTTCACCTTTGAGAACTTGACCATAAGATGGCTTGGAGTGCATACTTGTTGAATTACATTTGACTGCTTACCTTTGACTTTCTTGTATTTAGGTATTTGTATCCTCTGGGTTGGGGAAATTTTCTGTTATTATTTCCTTGAGTAAGCTTTGGCATTCTCAATTTTTTCCTGAACCCCAATAACCTGAATATTTCAAATCTGTTCCAAAATTTCTGTAAGCTTTCTTCATTCTTTTTTACTCCTTTTCTTTTTTCTCCATTGGTTGAGTGTTTTCAAATAGCCTGTCTTCAAGCCCACAAATTCTTCTGTTTAATCTACCCTGCTATTGCTATCTTCTAAATCAGGAGTTTTAAATTCTCTGACAGTTCTCTCACACTGATTGCTATTTGGCACCTTATTTTGAGTATTAAGTGAGGTCACAGTTTTCTCAGAGCTCTTAATGTTTGTTGGCATCTAACACGTTCTTGGTGTTGAAGGATTAGCTGTTTAGTTCAATCTTCCAAATCTGTCTTTGTTTGTGCCTTCATTTCCAAAATTCTAAGCAGGATGCTTATTTTAGTGAGCCTGTACTCACTGCCACTCTTTCAGCTCTGGATGCCTGTCAGGTCCAGATGTGCTGGGAGTCTATCTATGTGCTGTCACTGATTCAGTACTAGAGGGCAGTCCAAGCTCAGGTTGGTGTACTGTTCAGAATCAACCAGGAGAGCACTAAGTGCAGTTTGTTCCCACAGACTTCTCCCTGGGGCTGGATACATCTAGATGCCTGCCTATGACCAGGCAGTATGGGATTCTGCTCAGCTCTAGGCAGTGTCAAAATGAAGGGACCAGCCCCATGCTCCTGTCATGGCTGTGGTCACCTGTGTCACAGCCTGCCAAGACAAGCACAGTACCGAGAAGGGGTAGGACCAAGGCCCATACTACTATGGACTACCTGTTGCTGAGGTGCATTTATGGCCTGAGACTGCTGCAGTCAGCAAAGGTGATGCTAGCTGCGAGAGAAGTTCAGTAACAGGCTGCATACCTTCTCTGGACACTGGAGCAGTTCAGAAGCTCCACCTGTGGCAAGTCTTGGGGCTGGGGTCTTTAGGCTCTGCCCGGTGTTACAATTGTGAGTTTATTACTCCATCCTACCCTCAGCGAGTGAGGCCTTGCACCTTGCTGTGCTGAAGTGAAGGTGATTAAGCCAATCACATGGCAACTTGGGCTGATGATTGGTCATGCCTGAATCTCACAGTCAAGGGGGTCCATGGAAGCTCATGCCACAGTTCACAGAGATGCAGGCTGCACATGCTACATATGAGTGCATGTCGCTGGAACATATGTATCTGTTGGGTGCTGGGGCAGTTCTAGAGCCCTGTCTGTGAGCTCTGACCTGCTATGTTGCCTGGAGTCGGTGGTGGAGATAATACCTTGGACACCACACTGACACTACATAGTCACACTTGAGTTTAAGAGCTCCAGGGACCTGTACTGTCTAGGAAGAGGGTGTCCAGGACCCTCTCAAAGGGTGGAGATAATGCAGGCTGAATCTCAAGTCTGTCCTGCTGGCACACAGCTCTCTGCCTGATGTCTCTGTGACCAATGACCAATGACCTGTGTAGGAAGCCTTCATTTCTGAGAGCTGCTATGCTTCCCTGGGGTAGGCCTGGCACTGAGCTCTAAGACAAAGCTCTGTGGTAGCTTTCATGTGTCCAGTGAGTGGAGTCTTGCTCCTGCTCTACCACCCAAGGTTATGGGAGGAGCAATGGAGGTGGTCAGCTGCCTGGCCTACTTCAGATTCAATAGTTCAGTCTGCAGCAATTAGTCTTGTATTATAGGTCCAGTGCTTTACCCAGCACTGGTTTTCCTATGGTGAGCATGGTCCTAGGTTTAAGTCTAAAGACACTCTCCTCCCAAACAGGAGGTTTATTTCAGGTCCTGCTTTTATATTATGGGGAAAACTACTGTATTCTGTGAAAAGTCAGAATATCTTTTAAAAAAAGAGATATGGCAGCATTCAGATTCAAAGGACTCCAGTGCACACTGAATTAAGACAATGGCCTGTAGCATCATACAGATTTATTTCAACCTTGGCTTGAACACAGGCAAACTTGATAAGCTTTGGATCCATGTTTTAAGGTTCAAATCTAGGGTTGTAAAAAGTGTAGAATGATTCCTCCCTCCTGAAAATATTATGAAGACTAAAATGAGATAACTATAGTATAGTATTATAGTATACCACAGTGTCTGGCATGTAAAGACTAATCTATAATTGGGTCTATGATAGCTGACTTCTTACTATGGCTGTATATTACTAGGAACCTAGAAATATGTAACTTCCAATAGTATTTCTCTGGAAAGACTGTACTGATATGTACTCTCATTGAAAACTGACATTTTTCATTGGAACAATATATATGGCAATATTGATTAGGGTACCAGCAGTAGTATAGTGGTAGTAGTAAAATAATAATTTAACATACATAGAATTAATATGGCTACTATAACTATAAAAATGTTCTCACTGACTTGAAATTACAGTGGTCAGTTACTGTACTGACTTTCTCTGAAACAGGTGTATTTAGATGGTTCTGTTAGATACTAGATAGAATTATGTAAGGGGGTGTTTTATGACATAACTAATACTCAGATACTTCTTTAATACAATCAGTCAAGCTTCATCATCAAGATTGATCTTCATTTAGCATCCAAAGCAAATGCTACTATTAGCCCTGTACTTCTGAAACAAGGATTTTTGGACACTTAAGATAACTTATAGCAAAAAGTGTTCAAGTTCTCATCTGAGTACATTTTTAGTACTCACATATATGATTTGCTTAGTTTATACAGACATAAGGAAACACATGTATTAGAGTGGAGTATTCATTTCCACTCCTAATCTTCTTGGTGAGAAAGTTTTCCTACACACATTTCTGACCCTGTTTAGTCCTTTTTGTCACTCTACTCTGGGAAGTAGAGGGACTCACTAAGTTTAGGAAGGTTTAGCCTTGTTCTCCTTCCTCTTGAGAAGAAGGTCTGTATTGGCTCAATACTGCTTCCCTCTAGATATGTTCTCTGTGTGTATCTAGGTTTTTTTGTTTGTCTTGGTGTTTGGTTTTCATGTTGTTATGGTCCTCAGCTTATCCTTTACTAATAAGTGGTCTTTTGGGCCTCTGTCTTATTTTTAACCTGCTTGGAATACCATGATGGAGAGCATTTTATTGTTTGAATTACATTCACAGCTGAAAGATGACATCCTCCCCAACTTTTCCTTAATCACAAAGTGTTGAGCCTCTAGTAAGCAAAATTTCCAGATCCTACAAAATCCATCTGAGCAGCTGTCAGAGCCTATATTCTTCCCTTAGTATTGTGTTCTAACTATATCTCTGCAATTCCAAAAAGCAGTGTGGAACACCCTCTCCCCTATTAAAAGCACATTAATCTGCTTTTCATTACCGTGCTACAGGCTAATTTTATAAGAAAAAGAGGTTTAATTAGCTCACAGTTCTGGTGGATGGCAGGAGTGTACAAGAGAGGTCAGATCTTGATCAAGAAGTCAGAAAGAGATTGGGACCTACAGTCCCTTCCAAAGGCACTCACTCAAGGATCTAATGGCCTCCCAAAGGCCTCACCTTTTAAAGGTCTCACCTTGCAAAATCACCTGAGGCCAAGCTCCCAAACATAAACCTTGACAAAACAACACCCAAATCGTAGCAGATATCATTTGGAATTTTCTAAGCTTAGTACCGACTCTGGAAACTAAAAACAGGGGAGAAGGCTTGAGTGAAAGGCAGCCAAACTCTTCTATGGCAGAGTACTGGCAGATCTGGAAAGCCCATTTCATTTATGATCAACTCCTGAAGGAAGATGCCTTTTACAACCCAGACAGCAGACAGGAGAATGACTCATCATATGATAGTTACCTCAGCTGTGTGCTTCGCCACATTTCCCACAATGACAATGACCTTCCCCTTGAAGCTCTGGAGCATCGTGGCGTAAGGGCCTTGGGCGAGCTCTCCTTCTGCAGTGAATGCGGCACTGAATGGGATGTTGATGCTGCTCGAAATGTGACCCCTAATAAAACTGAGAAGACAGTTTAAGGAAAACCTTCGTGTTCTTTTTGGAGCACAGAAGAGTGTCTGACAGAAACAGAAGTAACTGATGTGCAGAGAATAAAGTGAAACACACAAAATAAAGTAAGGGCCTTGAGGTGGGTGGAGGAGAAAGGAACAAGACTAACCAGAGATGCAAAGATGTCCATCCTCATGAAATGAAGAATTATGAAAGTAATCCTGATGCAGCAGTGACAGTACTCACACGGATTGTACACTATTCATGCTTTCCAGTTCATTACTCCTCCTGGGATTAAAGCACTGAAAGTAATAAAGGCCAGTGGATAATCTCAGTCTAATTTGATACTGCAAGGCCTGTTCATTTTGGTCAAGTGCTTGCTAAATGCACTCTACTTAGAAGAATTGTTATAGGTCATGAGCACTAGCTGGCAACACTTTCATTGTTGGTTAGTCTCTCAGGTAAACTTAGCTCACATTTCCATAACTTCTAATTTTATGGTCTCTGAAGGGTGATGTTTTAATGTTTTTACACTTCAGAAGGATTGCGATAGTTTAACTGATTATTAGTTTTAATTCAGGAACCTACACATTCCCTGGCAGCTTGAACCATGGGTGGCATGCGTATGCCTGTCCCATTGGGTGGCATAGGACAGTCCTACTGGGTGATACAAACTGCACAACGGAATAGTCACGCATGTACCACTGGTGGTTCAGAGCTGTGTGGCAGCAACTTATGAATTATGGCCCCACTGTGAATGTGTTAAAGGCATCCATTTACCTAAAATATTTAGAAATGTTGTAAGATCTTAAAGAAAAAGTATGTTTCGTTAAATAACTAAAAAGCACAGAGGTGGCGGGAGCTGTGGTAAGCCCAGAAGTTCTGTTCTGCTTCCTGGGGACCAAGTCCTGGGTAGAACTTGCTGGTGCTGGGACCGTGTACAGCAACAGCTTCGCTTAGAACGAGCAGTCCAGACGAGGGGAGGTGGCGGAGCTGGGGCAGAAGGGGACCACGACCATTTCTCCCGCAGATGCCTTCGGCCTGTTGAGCAGTGATTTGAAGAAAATTCAGCAGGGAATCCATGAGGACCTGGGCTTTTCTTTGTGGGAATGAAGATCTAAAATAAATGTTGGAGAGCAAAGAAGATTCTGCTAAATTGGATGCTATGAAATAGACTGTTGGGATGACTGCAAGAGGGAAGAATGCATCTGAGCTATTTCCTGCTGTTGTAAAGAATGTGGCTAGTAAAAATATTGAGGAGATTGAAGAGGATATCAGAAAATGGAAACATATTCCTTGCTCATGGGTAGGAAGAAGCAACGTAGTGAAAATGGCCATACTCCCAAAATTGTTATACAGATTTAATGCAATCCCAATCAAAATACCATTAGAATACCTCACAGAACTATAGAAAATATTCCTAAAATTCATCTGGAACCAGAAGAGATCTAGAATAGCAAAAGCAATTCTGGGCAACAAAGGCAAGGCAGGAGGCATATAATTCCTGATTTGAATTATACCACAAAGCTACTGTGATAAAATCAGCATGGTACTGGCAAAAAAACCAGACCTGAGGATCAGTGCAACACATTAGAAGATGCAGACACAACTACATACACACTCAGCCACCTTGTCTTTGAGAAAGGGGCCAAATATGTTCACTGGAAGAAAGATGGCCTCTTCAGTAAATGGTGCTGGAAAAACAGGCTTTCTAAATGCGGAAGACTAAAACCAGACCCATGTCTATCACCATGCGCTACACTACAGTCAAAATGGATGCAAGTTCTAAATATTAAAACAGAAACACTAAATCTACTGGAAGAGAAAGTAGGTAGAAGCCTTGAAGATACAGGTGCAAGTACAGAGTTCATGAACAAAATCCAGGCTGCATGGAAAATACTTCAAAGAATCAACACCTGAGATCTTATCTTATGAAAAACTTTTGCACAGCAAAAGAAATCACCAACAGAGTGAAAAGAGAATCCACAGAGTGGGAAAAAATTTTAGCCAATTGTCCCTCAAACAAAGGACTTCTATGTAGAACATATAAGGAATTAAAAAAAAAATCAGACCCCTAATTCAAAGGCCCAATCCAAAAATGGGCATCTGAGATGAATACACACTTCTCAGATGAAGAAATACACATGGTAAATTAATATATGAAAAAGTGTTCAACATCACTGGTCATCCAAAAAATGCAAATTACAACAATACTGAGATTCCATCTCACCCCAGAAAGAATGGTTATCATCAAGCAATAAAACAATAACAACTCTGGAGAGGCTGTGGGAAAAAAGGAACCTCTCTCCACTGTTGGTGGGAGTGTAGACTGCAACAACCACTGTGGAAATCAGTGTGGATATTCCTCAAAAAACTAGGTTTAGAGGTCCCATTCGACCAGCTATTCTTCTGGGTATTTTCCCAGAAGAATTAAAAACATCATACCACAGCGATATATGCGCACCCATGTTTATAGTAGAACAAATTGTAATAGCTAAATCTTGGCAACAGCCCAAATGCCCTTCAACTGAGGAACGGATAAAAAAGATGTCATCTTTTTATACAATGGAGTACTACTTAGCTATAAAGAAGGATAAACTTGACACTTTCATAGGTAAATGGATGCAACTTGAGACCATACTCATAGTGGAATAAATCAGACTCACATGTGAAAACATCATATTGTCTTCCTGGTGTGAGAAACTGAAAGAGTAAATAAGGCCCAAAGTGTACAATAGATACTGTGATATGGGAAGAAATTGTTTAAAAGGAAAAGGGAACTAGGATGGGTGAAAGGCGAAAGGATAGTAGGGAAAAGAGAAAAAATGCAAGTCAGTTATACCATTAGTGTCTTTTCATTCATTAAAAAGGAAGGTTTGCGCTAATATCAATTGGAGAAATTTTTATGTTCATATCTTGTACCTTGAGCAGCTACTTCAAAGAAAACAACATGTAGTATTTAAGAATTGCTGTTCTCATATTATTTTGTTAGGAAATTTTGTTGTACTTTTTTTCCATAAAATAAAAAAAAGAGAAAAAAAAGCACAGCTGATCCAGGAGTAGTGGCACATGCCTAAAATTCCATCTACTTGAGAGACTGAAGCAAGAGGACTACAAGTTCAAGGCCAGCCTGGGCAACTTAGCAAGACCCTGTCTCAAAATAAAAAGGGCTGGGGATGTATCTCAGTGGCAGAACACCTGCTAGCATGTGCAAGGCTCTGTGTTTCATCCCTAGTATTGAAACAAAAAGTACAATCAAATGAATGAAAATAGGTCTGGAAATTTACAGAAGATATATTGGGACCAGGCTGTGTAAGGATTAAGTTGCTTACCACAGTTGTCTGAAAACAAGATAACACCACAACTGAGGCAGCTGAGGACACTGGCTCTTATTCCCTATTCCAGGGCAGTAAACTGCCAATCTTAAAGACAGTTCTCTCAATTAGCAAGAGTTATTGCTTAGAATGTCTTTGATTCTTTGTTTCATAAGGCCTTGCTTTGTTTCCCACCTTTATCTCAGCTTTTCCCTTCATTTTCCCTCACTCCCTCCACTTGTTTGAAATCCAATACATATGGGATATACAGAGAAGTCTTTGTAGGGAGGTGCGCAGGCATTAAAGAGAAACAATGGTCTGCCACTCCATCAGGAGAATTCAGAGAACACAGAAGAGATGAGCTCAGGTGAGCTAGAGATGAAGGCACAAGCAGGACATGCAGGGCCTACATGTTGAGGATACTGGCCTTTACTTCAAGAGCAATGAAAGTCAGGAAGTGTTTCAAGCAGAAGAGCAATGTATTAGGTTTGCATTAAGGCAACACTGTGGATGGCGGCTAGTTGAGGAGTGAATGTACAAGCCAGTTTACAGGACATCAAGGTGACATCTCTTCCCTTTCTTAAAGTTCACTTATGACTACCATGAAAGGGACGTTTATGTGTTCAATAGAGATCCCCACTTGCAACCAAAGCGTCACTTTAGGTGTATTTAAAACATGTGAGAATCAATAGAGGTTTTTTTTTTTTTGGTGCTGGGAATTGAACTCAGGACCTTGCCCTTGCCTGTCAGGTGACTGTGCCACTGAGCTATATCCCCAGCCCACAGCAGTTTTAAAAGACTATGACACAAGCAATATTTCCTCCTCAAACTTACCACTACAAAAGGGCAGAGAATCCTATTTATGGAATGACAGTTTCTCAATTGAATCAGTTTGTATACCTGTCTTCTCTCATACTATCTTTCTATCCCTCCCTCCTTCCTTCCCTCTCTCCTTCCTTTTTTGTATCTCATTAATGGAGAGAAGACAAATTTCAGGCACCTACTCTCAAGAATACTGGTGGACAGCAGGGATAGCATGTGTGAGGTTCTGGGTTCTATTCAGCAATGCAAAAAACAAAATTAAAGAAAGAATGGTGGGTAGAGATTTATAATCATGGGCATATACCTTGGACCTCGCCAGCATTAGTTTCTTAAACATTTATAATTATTCAATACTTTCAAGAGCAGTTTTCATAAATAATAATGACTTTATACTAAGGATATAATTACCCTGATAAAACTTTTCTTCTTTAGTGGTTTTATTTTCAGTGGACACAATACCTTAAAACAACAATTAATTATAACACAAAACAGGAACCTAACAACTTATTGGTTCTCAGAAAATGCATGTTCATCTGGTCTGAATTAGCTGCCAGAGAGAGTCTCTGTTTATCAAAGAGCATTTATCAACTGTGAACACCTTATCTTTTTGTGCTTTTACAGTAGCAGAAGCAACACAAACCTATCCTATCAGATGTGGTGGCAGACATGTTTATGTGCCCCTGCGACCCACTTTTTTTGGAAGATCCTCAACCTCTGCTCATGGGAAGGGTGAGTCTGGCCTGTTGGCATCAGATAACCTTGCCACAGACAGGGTTGACAGGACAGTGGGGAGGGGGACAGGAAGTAGGCAGTGATGTAAGCTGAGCCAATCAGTTCTCTCCCTTGACTATCAAAGCACAAGATGTAGGATGTGTTAAGCTTTCCAATGTAAAATCAGGTCCAAGCGCCTCTGAAATAGGATTTGGCCAGTCACATCTTAGAAAATTAGAAGCCCCTTCCTCTGAAGAAAAACTTTAAAAATCCACTTGTATTTAAATATCCAGTACATATTATTATTGTCCTAGAACTTTCTGTTGCTTTTTATGGCTTTTGCAAAAAAACCCCCACTTATATTAAATGTTAAAATGCTTGACACTATGGCAGCCGTGGAGTCTCTGGGAAGAAGTTATTCAGAGTACAAACTCTTTCAAATCTCTTTTTGGTTATACTTTGGAAGACTGGAAACAAAAGCACAGTTTCATATTCTTAGTTTAGTTCAACCCAAAAGTCCTGGAAAACATTCATCCAAGAACAGCCTTTGTCATGAAACTTCTAGCATAAAAAACACTGAGTGAGCAAAAATGCTGGTAGGCAGGGTTCCGTGCGGCTGCATTCCCGGCAAATGGCAGATGGGCCTAGGTACCCATCAGTGCATTTATGCTTGCCAGGCTTCTTGGCTTAAATAAGCTGGATAATCAAGATGATAATATTGGTCATTTATGGATCTTTTTCTCCTGGGTAATTTTTTTTTTTTGGTTTTTCCAGTATGAGAAATGGAACTCATGACCTCATGCTTTCCAGGCAGGCGCTGTGCCGCTGAGCTAAATCCCCAGCCCCTTCTGGGTAATTTTTTACCTTCCACTGCTTACAAAATAAATCTTCACATCACAGACATTGTAAGATAATTTATAAGTAGATTATATTTTAAAGGTATGTAGTTGAATCAAATTTTTATCTTTAGAGTAATAATAAAATATTGTGTATATTAGGTACTTGAAAAAGGAGCAAAAAGAAATGTTTGTGTATATTTTGTGTTAAGTTAGAAAGAATGGTAAAATAGGAGACAATTCCTGACATTTGGTGACTTCACATGACCCAAATTGATTGTGCTGAGTCAAATCTGGTAAGCAGAGCAAAATCATAGAAAATGCAGTGGGAGAAGGTCTTTATGCTCTAGGGCAGTGACAGTGAAACTTTTAAAGACCGAGTGGCCAAACTGTAATCTCAAACCCACTTATTTACTGCCGAGTGCGAACACTCCAATTACACCTGAATACTGAGGTTTAAAAATAATCCATCCATCAACATCTTTTGCCTTAAAAGAAAAACACGCATGCCATAGGTTCATCAACCACTGTTCTAACGACTTGGGTTTTATTTCATTGTCCTGCTGTGGGACACAAGTATCAACAGGTTTTTACACCAAGATAGCACTGCAGATAAACACGCAGCAATCCATATTTTAGGATTATGACTGTCACTTCGTTGCTTCCCTTATATTCAAGACAAAAATGGAAATTCACTGCAGTCACTTTTGCATTTAAAAAAGCCACTGCAGGCCTGTGTAAGCACAGATATGGGGTCAATGGAACTCACATTCAAAGAGGTTCTCTGCTTACCTGCATTCTAGTACGAGAGTCCTACCCAATGGCAGGCAATGTATAAAAGTAAGAATTTAAAAATATATGGCTTCATAGTGCCTAGTTTAGAGATTACAAAGGAAACAGAGGCCAAAGTATTTATGTGGCAAGTAGCCTCAATCATATGTGCTTCTTGTCAGTGTAATTTCAACAATGCCCACTATGATTTTCAGTTTGGTTTTGGCAAAAGTGGCAACAGTACCACTAAAAACTAATTTTTAACTTTCCAGTGTTCAAAAGAAATTAGTATTTTTGATGACACACTCAGAATTGAAAAGAAAACATAATTAAGAAGTCAGCAGGAATTATAGTTAAATTTCTAATATGGAATAAAAATACAGCTTGAGAGCCCTTACTTCAAAAATCTGAAATTCAGCTAGACCTGGGTGAAATCATGAAATCTGAAATTCAAAAATCAGCAATTCAGCCTCCCATAGCATCTGGGAGGCTGAGGCAGGAAGGCTGCCAACAGTTCAAGGCCAGCCTGGGCTACATAGTGAGTTCTAGGCCAGCCTAAACCACATAGTGAAACCTTGTCTCAAAAAGACAAAAAAAAAAAAAAAAAAAAAAGAAATTCAAAATGTTTTGTTTGTGTGGGTTAGTTATTGGGCATTGAACCCAGGACTGGCTTTGAATTTGGGTTCTCCTGCCTTAGCCTCTTGAACAGTTGAGATTGCAGGTGAATATCACCATGCGCAGCTGCTTTTGGTGTGTACTTTTTTTTTATTAAGTTAAGTGCTTTACAAATAAAGCTACAAAAGCTCAGCCTTGACTTGAAGCAAATGAGATTAACATTCCTTCAAAGTATTTCTGTTTTTGATAACATCAGTTGGTCTCACATTTACATAACTTAGACCACCCTTAATACAAACTCCAGGAAATAAAGAACGATTTGGCTTGTGTATTACCTTTGAGGCCATTAAAAGTAATGACAAAATTTTTAACACTACACATTTTCTATTGCCTCTTTATAATATGCAAGTATTGTTTGTTCCCAAATTCCTATAATACTGTATTGGACAACAAGTAAGTTTGACTAAATCTCTACCTAAGCTTCCCCAAGCCTTCTGTACTAGTTCAGACTGTGTCTCAGGTTCTTTCTCATTCTAGTATTTTGAGATTATGTTCATATTGTTAAGTAGGTGAATCCTTCATCTCTCTTTCTATCATTTCTTTCTCTCAACAACTCTGGTCTCCATCAGGGCTGGCATAGTTCTCTAAGATTGCTGCAATGCTAATCTGTTTCTCCTTGCTGACAATACAAAATAGGTGAGAATACGATCTCTTGCAGGGTATTTATATTTTAACTGGGATATTCATACCACACACTAAATGACTGAAGCTATAACTGCAGAACTGCAGGCAGCAGTCATGAGAAGGCTCTGGGAGTTGGCAAAGCTGTCCCTTAAATTCGTGGGTATAAATTAGCTTATTTTGTCTAAGGGTAAGATTGCTTCCCCTTCCCCCTTTCACAAACAATCCTTTCAGTTATTTTACAAAGGTGAAAAAGGATGAGATAAAACCTAATTTTAGATATTTAATCTCCTGACAGCACAATATAGGAAGTCAAAATTTCCACCTATATAAAGATATATTTTTTCATCTATATGAAGAACTATGTTAGACAAAGCTTTGAAAGATATAAAGCAGAAGATAAAATACAGAGAAATGATTAGCAATTTAGAAAATATTATAAACATTTTAAAAAGAGCTTATATTCTTTGGAAACGGAAAAAGTATTATAGGTATTGCTATACTGTATATGACTAGTTTTTGTGGCAAGGGAGAAATGAAATTATTTTTAAGATATACTAATATTAAATATGTAATGACTTAACAGATTGATAAAGTCAAAGGATTCCTAGATTTAACTTCGGTAGAATTAAGAGTTGCTCAACAAAGATACATTAAACTAGTATAGATGTCAGTAGGTTTAAAATTTGTTAAGTTTTAAGATGTTGGCATTTAGTAGTTTTAGGGAAAGTCTAATAATATCCAAGTGGATTACAGTGTATAAATTAAGCCACTATGAAAGAAGGAACCTTTGTGACACATTCTTCCCTGAGAGTATTATAATATTGCTTTTCAAGAATTGAAAAGGTACAGTATTGCCTGCTTTTGTGGCTGCATTTGCATAAAGATGACCACAGGCTGATTTGTTCAGTGGGTGAAATAGGCCCTCTTCACATGGGTCCTGAGGGTAATAGTTCTGATTTAAAGGAATGTGCACAGAACCTGAATGAATGCGTGGGGAAGTAAATACATGTCTCTTTCAGTCATTAATTTGTATTAAGTCATTCATCTCAATCTTGTTCATGCTTCAGAGATTGTACACAGACTAAACAGATGCCTGGAAAATGGCACAAAGCTGAGAAGCATGTGGCTGGCTCCACCAGCTGCTACTTACATGGCCTCAGAGAAATTGCTTAACCTCCTAAGGCCTAGTTTCTTCATCAATAAACAGAGATGTTAACAGAATCTACATCATAGGACTGACTAGCACTGTGCCATCCTCCAATGTTGTAAGAGCTTAGTGATAGTTGTTATTAGAAATCAATTCACTTAATTTATACATTCTATACGTCTCTTGTTCTAAAGCAACAAGTACTGCAAACATCACTGCTACTGTGTACATCTGTATCTTTCATAAGGAGTCTTAAGCCAACAAGGTGGGTCTCTAATTGTAGATTTTCAGGAGGTAGGAGTATTGATTGGTATTAGGGGAAGAAAGGATAAGTTAATAACTCCAAAATGACAGTGCATGCACAAGTCTCTATTTTTGCAGTACTCAAGGTATTATGGTAATACATACTTGATGTCCTGCAACTCTGGGAAAAGAGTTTAACTTGCGGTTATTGTTTTGAAAATTATAGTAATTAGAAGCTCAATGCTGAGTACAGCAAATGTTTCATTTAGGCTGTAAGTGTGTGGAACTGTAAAGAACTGATGTGTGGAAAGTTTTCTAGGCTGTATACTGTGAATGGCAGTTTGCATAGAGTGGCATGTACACAGACCTGGGGCCTATAAATATCCTGGAGCTTCATGCATGTTTCCCCGCGAAGAACTCCTTATAAGAAATGAAAACCACTTTCCAGAATTGCTGTGCTGTATTTACCAAAGTGTGGCAAGTCATATATTCTTTGCTTCCTAATGCCCATAGGAATGAATGGAAGGCAATGAATAGGAATGCAGTTTGTGCTAGCAAGCAGGCAGAGCTTGACGAACTTAGGGTTGTGCACAGATCAAGGAGTTCAGCAAAACGGAACACTTTGGAGCATGCGGGTCTGTATGCCACAGATACACTTACTGCTAAGTAAGTGTACCATGTACACACTTACTGTTTATCTTTGCCAATGAATGATGTAGTCACATGCTTTCAAGAACAATGACATGAATCAGAGAAACAGAACAAAGAAAATATCACCATATTCTGGTGTTATTTGAAAAGGTAAGGCAGCACGACACATGCAAAGGATACTCTTCACTATTCCGGATGTCAACCACCAGCAGCTTTGGTTTACTGGACTTTGTTTTCTTGGTAGGCGTTTTGAAGTGGCCTGTCACTGTCAGCTCACATAAGTCAATCAGGTCCTCTGCTGAAATCCGAGGCGATACTTCTGACTTCAGGTCATTTAATGGGATGGATTCTCTTGACTGAAAGAAAAAGTACAAAGAACAAAAATACTGAGAATATTATAGAGACCAGCCATAACTAATGTAAAATATATTCCAGCTCTTGATCTCAACAAATATAGCACATGGAAAAGAGGGAACTCCATCCATTTTATCACTCTGTTGTATAATTGTGCTCCTTAGTGCTGAGGTTTTGTCCCTTGTTACATTATAGGAAAGCATTGACGTTGTTGTTGTTATTATTATTTGCTTTACTGCAAGCTTGTGGACCAAGGGCATAGAAAGAAATATTGCAGATTTTTCCCTAGGAGGGGTACTGTGTGTCTTTAAAAAAGATCCTTTAAGTACATTTCACTTTTCCTTAAGTATAATGACTGTTGTGAAGTACAGTAACTATAACTTTGGTTGTATGAGAAACTGCATTGTTGTTGATACACATACTAATTAAAAAACTAGTCCATATATGTAACAGGCTTTTATAAAATAATTTATTTTCTATATAAATGGTTGAATGAAAATTAGATTCTCAGAGAGGAAGAGCAACCTAATATTTTCTTAGGTAGAAAGCCCAATTGATAAGGCATCTTAATAGCGAAGGAGGTAAAAGCAGACTCCTGACTGTCAAACTAGCACATCAGTCTGTATGTGCGCTATATGGTATAAGACTGATTTGGACAAAGGAACGTTAACATTTTTTCTCTGTTATTTATTTAACAGGAGAAGAATTTTCTGACACATATTGATAGGTAATACAACAGAACCCAACTCAATGTAAGTGTCTTCATTCTTGAAGACTTATGTGACATGAATTGAGAATTTAAGAACTTTTAAAATGTACTTATTAAGTATAGAGACTTAAAAGGAAAATTGATTTTCATGCTCAACAAAGTTATCAAAATTGAGGCTAATTTTATTATCTCATTTTTCTCAGTTTCATTTTGGGATTCCACACAGAAATTCCAATGTAGTAGTTTTAGGCAGAAGAAAATCAACCATATCAAGCATTTATCTGACAAACTTATTTTGAAAAAAATTATTTCCAATCTGAGTTTGATGTTAACTCCTCTCCTGGGTTTCTCCAACTGTGCTCTATACATTCTTCAGTGGTAAAGCCCTTGTTCTCTCACTTCATTAACTTTGACATAGAAATGCAAATTACTAATCTTTATTAGCTTATGTTTTTTAATAAAAAGTATGCATTAGGAATTTAAATTTTTTAATATTAGGAATTAAAGCTACTAAAACATTGTGAAATTAAAAGTGCTACAGAAAGATTGAAGAGCTGTAGTTAGCAAACCATATAATCAGTACTTCTACGTCCATTTTCACTGGAATGCAATCTTTACAGGTATTTTTTCCAGGTTCCACATGAAGTCCTATATTTATGATGCTAAAGAAGTTCTGATTAGCCCAGTTTTGCTCTTAGTATGAAATGCTGCATTCATCACTAAATGACGAAGTTTCATGTGAGCAAAAGGAATGCCCTGGCTGAGAGATGGATTTTACAGATGTATCCACTAGAGTTGATTAAAGAGTGATTGACCTTGGCATTGATTCCAATCCAGTGCATTCAATGTAAGGAGGTTTTCAAAGGAAAGTGCATTGCTGCATGCAGTTACAAGAACAGAAGTCTGACAAATTCACAACTGTCTGAACATCTGTACTATGTATGAGTAAAGAATTTTAATACGATGTATACAAGTTCCCCTACAAATTAATTTGTGTAAATTTTAAAAAACTACATAGTAAGAAAATAATTATATTAAAATACAGAGTACTGATTTTATTAGTATTATGAGTGGTTTTACTCTTCCTTGTAAGATTCCCCTTGCAGGTACATAAAAAGTCTTTGTGTACAGAATGTCTGTGTTATTTAGTATAATAGACATTATCATTTTTCTTGTCACTAGTTTCAAAGTTAGAAGACTTATTTATGAATAATGGACAAAAATTTATAATAACTGTAGAACAGCTCTAGAAATGTCTAAATCTGTCTGAACTATATTTCTAAAATATCATATTCTCTTGCCAACCCAGAGTTAGAATTTATTTAGCAGTGTTACTGGTAACAGTCATCATTTAGTAGTGTGAGGCCTCCCAGACAGCTATCTGGATGTTTTAGTGATAATTCCAACCAAGTGAGTTGACTCTAGCCCTGGTAACAAGACAGGTACGCTGTTCTTACCAAGAACAGTGTTCTGGCTGAAGCAATCTACCAAACATACTGGGGAAGTGTCTTACTGACTCTGCCTCCAGGACGGGTGCTGAGAAAAGGTTCTCATTTAAAAACTTTCCACTGTTTTTTTTTTCAAAATTCGTTCATATTCATTCATATGAATGAAGCAGACATTTAGTCAGGCTCTTATTTTCTTTTGAAATGATTTTCACAAGCTCATTTCACAAATATTCAGTTGGATTTTCTCAGGTTTGCAGCTACTGCTCTATGAAGCACCAACACCAATTTCTTCTAATATCCATGATCTCCTGTGAAGCAGGGGCTGGACTTGTTCATACCCTATTTCCTAGCAGAGGGCCTGCAATTTAGTAGCGATTTAGTAAAATAGGATGAGTTAATGAAAAGGAGATATAAAAGAGCCAGCAGGGGGTCTCATGTAAGGGAAAAATATATAGGAATATAGAGCAATGATGAGTACTATGTGATGATTACTAAGTTTTACACATGGCCGATTAGAAAAAAATGCAATAGTTACAGATGGCAGATAAGGAGAAGCTCAGACTTAGATATGCGAAACCGAGATGACATGAGGTCTACCATGCTGAAGTGTCAAGAATGCAGTCAGAGACAGAAACTGGTATTTGCAGAAAGTCATAGCTAAGGGATCATATTTTTGAAAACATCAGCACAAAAACTACAGTTCTATTCATGAGATAATGTAAAGAAAAACTTGGCAAAGAAATCTTAATTTTGGCAGGCACATCTATATGTTGCTCAGAAAATCTTAAGTTATATAAAACATTAAGGTTGGGACAAAAATGGAGGTTTTTAGTATAATATTAATTTTTATTTTTTTCATATGTGTATAGTAAGCAGACTCTGCTGTCTTTGTAGTAGATATTTCAAGCTCATCTCTGAGGAACTATAGCTTATCAAATGACTTATCAAACAGTTAAGGATGAAACCTTAACTGTTATTCTCAAATTTTAACAAAGAAAAGCTACCTTTAAAAACTTCACTTTTAACCATATGTTTAAAATAATACATTATCTCAGCAGCACTTTGGTCTTCTCATTTCTCCTTCTTATTTTTAAAGTAATAGAAGAGGTTACTATTTCCAAGATTTAGAAATATAGCATTTGAAATAGTATCTGATATAACTGTCATGCTCTGAGAGCTGCATAATGTGGTTCTCATACAAGAGAGAATATTTTCCCTTTAAATAGAAATGAAAATATATATGAATATAAAATACACAGAGTAGAGAGAAAATTTTTTGCATTGGGGATTTTATGCTAAAATTTTCATAGATGTGCTTGGAAAAAGTATGTAACCTAAATTTCTATAAAGAGAATAATTTTCCTTTTGATACACAGTATCTGTTTAGAGATATTTCAGCCCTCTGGGTCTCAATTTTCTCATGTATAGAATAAAGGAGCAGGAGTAGATGACACTTATATTTCTCTAACTCTGGAATCCTTCGACTTGATTTCTGATTGATATTCAACTAGCAATAGGTCACAAAGCTCTTGTTTCCCTCTAGCACAAAAGTTAAAACTTACATAGAACATTTAATGATCCCATGAGGATTAGTAAAGTGTTGTTTGTAGCATGTCATGCCTCCATGGACCAGTAAGATGCCTCAGTATTTCAAAGATAAGTAGCTGGGTATATTTCAGATACTGTAGTTTGAACTGGTCTAAGGGGGACAGAGGGGATGGAGGTTATGGAGGGTGAAGAAGTCTAGGGTCAGTGATCTGTGAGGCAAAAACAGGGTCAGGTGGCACTGTCGGGGGATAGTGGTATGGTGCTGCCTGTTACTTATGTAGAAATTTCTATAACAATGTGAAAAAATTAATGAAAGTGGCTCCACTCATCTTAACTGCTGAAGATGGAACTTTTGATACCGTTGTTTGTAATGTGATAGCACTGCTTCTCCATAGCAGTTATGTCCAGGGTTCAAAGCTGCCCTGATGTTGAGATCTGGATCGTGACTAAGAGGCCAGAGTAATTTAGTCAGTCAAACTGATATTTTCATCTCAAACTCTAACTTTCAAGATGAAGCCTTTATTTAAATTGGGTTACTGACATTATTGTCCTTCTCTCTCACCCTTGCCTCCTTTCTTGTACATCAAAGTGATTTGCACTACAACTTCTGCTCAGGTGTAACTTGTCGCTTAGGATACCCCTTCTCCTGCCAAAACTCCCCTCACTGTATAACCAAAGGGTGTCAAATATGAGTGGCTGCTGTAACCACCAGCTCAAGTCACATGTGAGCTTGCTCCACAGGAACCGGAGAAGGTCTCCTCCCAAGCTCCCAAACCCTGGGACTATAGCTACTAATACAAAGGCCCGGTTTCATTTGTCCCTGTTTGTGGAGAACTGAGAAAGGTCCCTGTCATATCTTACAACTCCACATATGTGGCTTCCACTGGCCCCAACTGCTGCCACCACCCACACTTGCATAGTGGGCTATGGAAGCTCTCCTCACCTATGGTCTTGATACTGCAGCTGATGGTGCAGAAATGGTTGGCTTTGCCCAAGCTTGGCCTGGAGACCAGAGGAAGGTTCCATTTGTGTCTTGCAGTTCTAGAACTGTGTCTACAAATGCTACAAGCCTTGTCCCAGACCTTTGTCTGCATGATGTAGGAACATTCCCATCCATGTCCTGCTATGGCTTTAGGAATACTGACGCCAAAGCTAGAAGGCCCTGCAAACCAGTGCTCAACCTGTATGACCTAGGAAAGATCTCCCTCATGTCCTACACCTCTATGAGCATAGGTACTCATGCTATAAACCCAAACATCACCTGCTCATGCCTCAGGAGATGCACATAGGTCTCATCTGCAGTATATGGAGCTGGGACCAAAGGTGTTGGGGCCTAAAGCTCTGCTACTACTTGTCCTTACCCCTTGGCACCTGAACAAGGCATCCTTGGGAACCCAAACTCCAGGAAAGCAGCTAGCAGTGCTATGGGTGCCAGTATCAGCAACTGGTCCATGGTCCCAAGGAAGGTCCCCTTCACGTTCCATAAACTTGAGTCCATGGTTACTGGTGTTATGACCTCAGCATTCCCTGTGCACATCCCCTGGGATTCTGGGAATGTCCAGTTCCATCATGTGGCTCAAGAATTATAGCTGTTAATACCACAGGCCTAGGTTCATCCTGAGTGCCCTAGAGAATGCTTCCTTCACATCCTCTGGCTCAGGACCATGGTTGCTGTTGACACAGCTCTTAGTGTCACTTGTGCTTACGCTGAGGAATCAAAGGACAATCCTCTCCATGTAGTGAGCCACTAAGACTACAGTAGCAGCTGCCATAAGATCTCATACCATCAGGGCTCAACCCTGGAACCTGAAGACATGCAACTTTGTAAGCATATGTCCAGTACAAAGTTGCACTACAATACTCAGGTCAAAGACGAAGAAATCATACAGAAATGGTGCTCTGAAATTCCCCAGTAACTAAACTCAAAGCACCTACTAAACTGACATTCTATAACCCATATGAACAACTCAAATATATAAAGTGAATATTATTAGATTTAAAGGGAGAGATAGAGTCTAATACAATACAATGATATTTGGGACTTTAATCACCCAATTTCCTCAATGGACAGATCACATCCTGGCGCAAATGGACCCCTCAGATATTTATAGAATGTTTCACCTAACAGGAACAGAATACACATTCTTTCATAATAGATTATACCAGTAGGCCACAAATCAAGTCTTAATAAATTGAAAAAAATTGAGATCCTATCATGCATCTCCTCAAACCACAACAGAATAGTACTACAAATCAACAAGAAAAAGAAAGTATACACATATATGGAAATTGAATAACATGCTCCTTAAGGACAAGTGGGTAATCAAGGAAGTTAAAACTGTAATAAAGGGGGCTGGGGATTTAGCTCAGCGGCAAAGTGCTTGCCTGGCAAGTGCAAGGTCATGAGTTCGGTTCCTGGTACCGGAGAAAAACCAAAAAAAAAAAACCAAAAAAATAAAATAAAATAAAATAAAACTGTAATAAAAAACTCTAGAAGTGAATAAAGATTATAGTGCAGTATGTCCAAATCTGTGGTGTATAGCAAAAGCCATATTTAGAGGGATGTTTACAGCAATAAATTAATATATCAAAAATGTAATATCTCAACTCAGTAATGTACCTCAAAGACTTAGAAAAACATGAACATACCAAACTCCAAATTAATGAAGGAAAAAAACAATAAAGATCAAAAAGATCATTCACTATGGTAAAGGGTGATTCATTCCAGGGATGCAAAGATGGTTCAACATATGCAAATCAATAAGCACGATACAGCACGTTATGAGAATGAAGGACAAAAATCATATGATCATCTCAACAGTTTCACAAAAAGCATTCAGTAAGATGGAGCATTCCATAATGATGCAAACCTACTCAACAACAAGTATAGAAAGAACATACCTCAAAATACAGTACTGAAGTCTAGATGTGAAAAATTCACAACCACTATCAGACTAGGAATAACTTGAAAGCATTTCCTTTAATATCTGAATAAGACAAAAATGTCTATTTCCAGTACTGTTATTTAATATAATGTACACTAGAAGTCTCACCAAGAGCAA